TGAATATGGAAGGAGACACCCGACCTCCCGAGTTTGCCTTAGGTTTTCTTCAGCAGGCACGAAATGGGGCAATTCCCAGCTGAGCAGGTAACCGGGTCACAGCTGACCGGCCGGCGATCGGGATCACGGGGCCACAAGGATTGCACCCCGCAGTTCGTGCAGTCACACCACGTAACGACTTGATGGCGTGAGTTCGTCGGGCTTGCTCCCTGAAGCAGCTCTACCAATCCATCACCATCAGCAGCTCCCCTGAGCACGAGTGACTTCCGAGCAGCAAAAATAGAGATTCAGCAGCACACATGAGGAGGAAAAAGAAAAGAAAAAAAAAAAAAAGAAAAGAAAAAAAAAAAAAAAAAAGGAGCCTTAGAAACGAGTTCAAATAAATACAAGCATATAATGGCTAAACCCGATCTTCAGCCTTGGGGCGTCACAAGCACCTATGGGACCCTGTAATCCAGAACAGGAATAGATTGAGGGTTAGTGTTAAGTTCAGCGACGTCCGGGTGGCATTGCAACACTCGAAGTAGGGAAGGGAAACAAATAACCTACCCCTTTCTCTGCAAATGCGTTCATAGCCTGTCATTTTGCAGTGCAGAAAGTGCAATAATTTTCTTCTTTTTCTTTAGAAGGTGTGGACTTGGACAGTTTTTTCATAGCGCAATAGGCAAAACCTGGGATAAACGTGGGATAGGTTTTGCAGCATCCAAAGCAGAGAGAAGTCAGATGTCATCAGGAACAAAGGGATTTATTTAGCATTTGAGCTAAGACAAGATTCATATCTTAGGTGAAGTCTCTGTATGTATGTGACAGACCTTCTGAGTTAATAATTTAGTTAATAAATCAGTTAATAATAAAATAATAAAATACTAAAATATAGCAGTCTGCGAGAAGCCTTGGATGATCATCACACTCTCTTAGACGCACAGACAGCTAAGAGAGAGTCTGTTTTTAAGAGCATCTGTCCAAACACAGAGAAGGTGAAAGAAATTCCTATTTTTGCAGACGGAAATCTGAAGCGAGCGACTGAACTCTGATCTCGGGAGCATTCAATTAGTCAACACATTACTTGACTGTTTAACGTTAAGCAAATGTGGCTGTGTAATTACTGGGTTTCACAGTTCTGTCGGTCCCGCTCGTCCCTCGGCGCAGCGATAAGTGCGGTCAGCCAGGTGATGCACGCTAATGTCGCTTGTCACAAGGCTGCGAATGGCCTGTCCCTGCCGCCCACCCAGCTGTGCCCGGGTGCTGGCCCCTCATCCCGTGCTGGCATCCCAACACTTGCCAGGGGCTTCTCTCGTCCTTCTCAGGAGGGCCTGGGAGAGGATTTCCTACAACACAGGAATAGGGTTGCCACATAAGTAGACTAAATTTGTGTAAAAGGAGAAATTCGTCAGAAGTATTGCTGCTGGTGTCTTCTAGCGATTACTGTCTTTGTAGCTGGAAAAGCACACAGCGACAGAAATGGGCAGAAATCTGCCATGTTAATATGGAGGTTGGTTTTTGTGGTTTGTTTTTGTTGTTTTGGGGTTTTTTTGTGTTTTGGGTGGGCGGTTTTTTGGGTTTTTTGGAGGTTTTTTTTTGTTTGTTTTTTTGGGGGGTTTTTTTGGGTTTTTTGTTTCTTTTTTTTTAAGAGCACAAAACCACTGCTTCTTGACATTTCCAGCTCCTCTGCTTTAACAAGTGTGTTGTGATTGTGACCTCCTGGCTTTCCTGCCACCTGCCCTGTGTGGACGAACCTTAAGCTGACTTTAATTTAGTACCTTGGCCTGAAGTTCCTTTTTTTGCACATTAGGCCCACTTGCTTTTCTATCCATATACTTCAGCAAGACAGAAAGCACACATAGACACACACACACAAAAGCCATCCAAAAAAAAAAAATTAAAACCACAAAAAATCCAACCAACCAAAACAAACAAACAAATACCACCAAACACCCACACAAACGAACCAACCCATTCAGAGCTGAATACCTTTTGGGCTTTGGGGCATAAGTGATCTCTGTGAACTTCAGAGAGCACTCACCATTGCTGTAGGAAGGGGCTGGAAGGCGCTGCCCAGGTAATGGCGTTCTTTAACTGGAGAAAGAATTTGGGTAAGGTTAGAGAGGTTTTGCAGGTGCCACCCTGTCATTGTGGTTTATTTCTGTGGAGTAAACCAGAAGCGCTGTTTCCAGGGCTCGAATTGCCCTGTGTGCAGTGCCGGGATCGACATTGTGGCAGTGACAGACCCCGACTCTGCCTGAAGAGTGCGGCCAGGAGCCACCTCGGTGTCTGTCACACACTTGAAGCCTTCTCCACAGTTCCCCGGGGCACACAGCAACTGCTTTCACCGCCTGACAGCGAGAACCTTGATGCAGAAAGCTCTCGAGAAAAAAATATGAATCACTTCGGGGTTTTTCTTTTAATGTGCCTATTGTGATAGGCGCTCATAGGGCGTGCGGAAGGTTTAATGTTTCAAAAGGGCTACAGGACAAATTTGGGTGTCTGTCGTTTAGAATCAGAAAGTCAAGATGCTTTGAGGAAAACAGGGCTTGGACGGAGATTCAGAATATTTTGCTTCATGCATATTGGCAGTGCATAAATCTGCCACGTTTCAGACATGTTAAAGAAGTTTCAGATCGTTCTTCTCATAGGGCAGGGCTTAAAAAAGAGCTACACATCTGGCTACATACAGGGAAATAATGCTTCTTAGATTTGAGTCTGCAAAAGCTCTGTGAAAAGGGTTGCTTGAAGATCTGCCACGTCTTCACTGCACACAGTTCGACACACTCCTGTGGTGTGTGGGACTGTTGTGTGGGCCAACACTCTTACCAAAACCGGTGTATTTATTTCAATTTTGTGTCATTCCGTTCCGAGAAGAGAAGAGAAGAGAAGAGAAGAGAAGAGAAGAGAAGAGAAGAGAAGAGAAGAGAGGAGGTTTTCAATCTTTATTATGATCCACTTACAGTTTCAAGACTGCTTCAGGCTTCAGCTGTCTGACAAGTTGGGGTGAAGGACAGAAGAGAGGAGCAAAACCCGCATCTAAAGGAAAAATGAAAAGAAATGGTGACTGAAGTTATGAAAATGTTATTGTGATTTATTTTCGAAACCAGTCAAAGTAATTTTCCCACAGAAAGCTGTGAACCTGTGTGAAAAGGACAAAATTATTTTAATCCTGTAGGTTTAAATACCATAATAAAAGGAAAACTCCACCAAACAAGAAATCATCTCTCATGCACATTTGTTTCCTGGGTTTACGTATCTATGTTTTAAACATGTAATGTTTTGGGGTTTTTTTTCCAAAATAAAACATCAAGAAAACACATTATCTCCTTGTTCTGAAGTATCACCTATTTCAGAATTACATCATTTTTCTCACGTACAGCTGGGAGAGGAGTAAAGAGAATGACAGGATAACATTTTAGGTATATTTCTTAGAATTAAAGACTGTTTGAAAAGTAAAATTGGAAGATGAAGAAACTAGAGAGTAGAGTATTTTACTAAATATTAAGGGTCTGAATGCCTTTTGATTCTAGACTCAGTAATAGTGCACAATTACTAAGTCGATTTTTGCCGAGGAGGCTGCTCTCAAATCTCATAGATTGAGGCAGTTTGCATCTATTTTATCTTTCACGGGTACAAACATAAGTCTCTTTAATTGCAATTTGAAAACGGACCCAATTTAATTTCCCGTCCTCGTGGAAGATAGGCTAATCAGTGGGCAAGTCTGCCACTTCGGCCCCTGCCCCCTCCTCCCCGGTGCTCAGCTCCACAGCTTTATCTTGGGAAGCAAACGACCCACATGACTGTTACCTCCTCCCCCCGATTTAAGCAATAAACATAATTAATTTATCAGTCCCATCCCACAGCCCGACTCAGTACTACCATCTAAATGAAAAGGTCTTTTTTTTTTTTTCTTTTTTTTTTCCACTCAAGTTTAATTACAGGGTGCCCATTTCTCAAGCACGGAAATATTTCTATCTCTAGCGAGTAGACATGGACCGAGGGATTTCTTTAAGAGAGGAAAGGTGAGGTTCTGGGAGGTAGGGATGAAGGTGCCGCTGTGGCAGAGTGCCGAGTGGGCTGCTCCCGACCGGCCTCCCCCTTTGGAGGCTCGTGTCGTAATGTTTCACTTACTTTGAATCCTGATTTACAGCTCTTGATCTGCGCAGCGGAGATCGGATCCACCGCCACCCCCCCGCCCCGGCGCAGCAAGGCAGCCACGGCGGCACGAAAGACAATCCGCTCCAGGGGGTGCTTAAACCAGCTCCTATCCACCCGTCCCAGCAAAGCAGCCCTGTTTCCATTGAAAACGGAGCAAACCCTAACCTACTACAGCAGGCACGTCCCTAGAGATTTTTAACACTTGAAACGTAAAGTGGGTCTTATTTTTTTTTTTTTAATTCAGTCATATTAACCGGCTCTGTAAGAAAGCACCAAGGAAGTCGAGAAAAAAAAAATAAACCAAGTGCCTGGAGTAGGCAGTTATGGAAGGCTTAAAATTTTTGTCCAGGTGAAGCAGGAGAAACATAGGAAGACTGTCTACGGAAAGTGTGAGAGGACCTAATGCTTAGTGCACGGGACACTCACAAAAGTAGTTTGAAAGGCAGTAACAACCAATTACAAAGGACGATAAGACCTCTTGGAGGAGTTATCAGAGACCAGTTTTATTATTTTCCCTTTATTGTAAAAGTGCAAAATCATTCTGTACAAATCCATCATATAAAACACAGCATTCTGTAAAACATACAAAAGCATATGGATCTCTAACAAGATCACAGAAATTATATTCTCCGTGTGCCCCAGTATCATCATTCCATCGCAGCAACAGTTTCAGATGACACAGTCAGACAGTGATGGTAAGACCAGAACCACCTGGACAGCGAGATGGCACATCACCTTTTAAACCTCGAGTAGGTCACAGATACCCTGTCAGTTCTCAAGATTCAAATAAATTACATAAATAGGAGCGGGGCCGGGCGCCTCTGCGCCAGTGTCCGTGCCGGGCCCCAGCGAGCCCCTCACAAGTCGGGGTAGCCGCAGTAGTAGACGGCGCTGCTGGCGTCCGACACGGCCGACGAGATGGGAGCCGCGGCCTCGGGCGCCGACAGCGCGGCCGCCTCGTGGCCGCCGTAGGGCAGCCCCAGCTCGGGCTTGCAGGCGAAGCGCAGGTACTGCTCGAACTCCGTGCGGTCCACCTCGCCCAGCAGCTCCTCCGGCCGCAGCTGCTCCAGCTGCTCCCGGCACGGCGCCGACTCCGGCGGCGGCGACGGCTGCCCCACGGCGCCCGGCGGCAGCGGCGGGCCGCGCCCCGCTCCCGGCGGCTGGCACTGCCCGTAGTAGGCGTGCAGCGGCGCCGGGCAGCCCAGCAGCCCCTGCAGCGACCCGCCCGCGCCCAGCGCCTCCCCGGGCGCCAGGTGCCGCCGCAGCGACGCGCCCGACGGGCTCTCGGACGCCGCTGCTGCTGCGGCTGCTGCCGCCGCCGGGTACTCGGCGGCCGCCGGGTGCGGGCCGTAGCCGTAGGGCACCAGCGCGCACTCCTCCTGCAGCCCCGCCGCGAAGAAGGACGCCTCGCTCTCCGCCGCGTCCAGCGGCGACGGGTCCGGCGTCGGCAGGCCGTAGCCGTCGAACGCGGCGCCCAGCGGCGGACAGTCCCGGTAGTGGCCCGCGCCCGCCGCCGCCGCCGCCGCGTAGCCCTGCTCGCCGTACGCCAGTCCCAGGCCCTCCACGCACATCCTGCCGCCGCCGCCGCCGGACACCTCGCTGCCCAGCCCGGGCCCCGCCGCCGCCGCCGCCGCCTCGGCCAGGCCGTGCTGCAGGAAGCCGCTCTCCACCCGCTTCAGGCGCTTCACCTGCTTCCGCCGCCGCGGCCGGTACTTGTAGTTCGGGTGGTCCTGCATGTGCTGCACCCGCAGCCGCTCCGCCTCCTCCACGAACGGACGCTTCTCCGCCAGCGACAGCGCCTTCCACGATTTACCTGCACCCACCGACACCGTCAGACCGCCCGCTCACCCTGCGGCACCCACGCCCGCTCCCGGCCACACCGACACCGCCCCCGCAGTCCGCAGCCCCAGCCTCGCCCGATCCTCGCTCGCCCTCGGACGCGACCGCCAAGCCGGGGACCCCGGCCCGACGGGCCACGGATCCCCCCGCTCGCCGCCCACAGCCCCGAGCCTGAGCTTCCCCGGGCTCCCCGCTCTCCCCGATCCGCCCCTCGGCACCCCGCGCCCGCGCTCGCTCGCTCACCCAGCATCTTGCTGAGCTCGGCGTTGTGCAGGTCCGGGTTCTGCTGCGCCAGCCGCTTGCGCTCGTCCTTCGCCCACACCATGAAGGCGTTCATGGGACGCCGGATCCGCGCCTCGCCCTTGCTCCGGCCGCCCGACGGCCCCGACGCCGCCGCGCCGCCCTTCGCCTTCGCCTCGCCCAGCGGGCTCAGCGCCTCTGCCGCCCACGGACACATGGCCGGCATCATGATGGGCAGCGAGCACCGCCCCTGCACCTGGTCGTCGCTGCTGGCGTAGCCCGCATCGGGGCTACTCATCTCGCACCGCACGGGACGGGACGGGACGCGCTGCCGAGCGCCGCCAAAGCCGGCAGCTGCGGCCAAAGCCCACACGACACCCTCGGCACTCGGAGCCCGCTCGCTGCTGCCGGAGCCCGGCCCGGCCCGGCCCTATTTCACCCGCGGCGCGGCCAATGGGGCGGCGGGGGCGGGCGCGCAGCCGGACGGCGGCCGTGGCTCCCGCGGCGCTGCCCCGCGGGGCGGCCCCCGAGGCTCCTCCCGGCCCGGCCCGGCCCGGCCCGGCACCTGAGCGCATCGCGGGCCCCGCCGCGGCCAGCGCTGCCCCCGCCCCCGCGGGGGGACCCTGCCGGCTGTGCCTCGGGGCACCGGCAGCGCCTTCGGCAGCGCCACCGGCATCAGCCCTGCCCTGCGCAAGGGCCGCGCAGAGCGGCCCCCGGGGCCGGGCGCTAAGGGACATCCCTGAGCGGAGCTGATACGAAAGAGGGGAAAGAGACAGAGTATTTACAGTAGTGCCGAGATATCGTGTAACACTCTGAGAGCGGCTTCTCCTGCAGGCAGATTTGGGATGTAGCTTGGTAATGGGAAGACATGTCATCATCTCTGCTTCACACTTCAGCTTCTTACCCTCTAGCGCTACCTGAGCATATTTCTCCTTGTAAGCCTATGAAAGAGCTCAGCTCCCTGGACAGCAGGATGCTGAACCCATAGTAAACCCTATGATACATATCCTCTCTCATTTTTCATACTTCCTGCTACAGTTATTCAGTGTCTGTCAAACATAAATATTCCTTGTAATTATTATTAATACGTTGAACTTTGCGGTACTTATTTCTTGTGGTATTACGTTATCAGGATTTCTCTGATTTGCCCAAATAAATAAACTGTAATTACAAACTGATGTTTGAAAAATGTCCATCGCTTCAGAATAAACAGAATTTTATCTCAGCACCATTTATGTTCTCCTTTGGCATACAAACTAATGTAGAATATGGAGTTTTCATGGACTTTGGTTAATATTTGCATTGTTATGTGGTGCTATTAAATGCATCAATGCTTATTTGAGAAACTGCTCAGCTTTAAACTGAAGATCAAAGGGGTTTATTTTGTTAAGGACACCTTTGTTTGGGTAGCCACTTTGATCAAATAAACCAATATTGTAAGAATTCTCGCTGAAATTAAATGAATGAAGTCAGAATAACCATTAACGTATTCTAACATTGAATTTCCTGTTTCGCACAACGTAAAGCTTGCTCCTTTACACTTGATGGACAGATGCTTTAAAAAGGAGAGATCGCAGTAGCAGAGCTGCCAGGGACTTACACAGGTGAAGAAAATTTCCCAGACATTTTTATATTTAGCTTCCTGCTCCCTACAGCTTTTTAGAGATTATAAACCAGCTATATGTTTCCAACATAATAGTATAGCATATTTATCCCTGTTGCAAAACTATTACCAAAAGACTGATATCTGCCTAAATCAAACCAAAAAGTTTTCATTTTCTCTTCTTACATTCAAACACTCGTGCTAGTCCAGCATAGAGGCAGAGATTCAAACAACCCTGCTTTTAGTCCTTATATTACGTGCTGTAATAAGCAGCGGAGGTGAAAAACAGTGATCCTACATATATGTGTGTTTAAATTAATCTCAAACTAGTACATAATAGCGCCACTCTTGCAAAATTAGAATTGATTGTAAAATAAATTAATGATGACACTGCGCTTGCAAAAGCCGACAGTCAGCCCAGAATCGGTGATAACCGGCAACACTCGTCGGGAATAAAGTGCTTTTTCACTCGTTTTTAGTCCAGCGCTTTTGGGACACTACCTTAGGGCACACCTGGGTAAGGCTGGCGTACCAATGGCTTTAGTTTTATGGCTGAGGTTGTGACATTTCCCGACCCGACGTGCCGGGACTCAGAGCCCTCAATCCCAGGCCAGCCGCCCCGAGGAAGGTCGCGCACGGACGCACGGCCGATACCCAGAGAAAATTCTGAATTAAACAGTATCAGAATCGTGTTTAAAGAAAACTCATGCGTGAGGAAAGCGTGTGAATTTTTCCCTGCGGATAACAGAGTACTCAGCTGAGGGAATAAGCAACAAGCCTTCCAAGCAAAACAGAACCCCAGTAGGCAACAACGCGCTGCTCTAAGGGAGCCGGTCCGTTTCCATTGCTTCCCAGAGCAGCTCCCAGCTCACGCCGCATTACTGACTCGGACAGGACTAACCAACGAGGAGTTTAAACCGTAGGAGAGAGTATTACCTTTTTTTAACCAGTTGATCGTGTTAAAACGCCAAATTTTCCCTTTCGCTCTAATTAGCAGAATTGAGCCAAGCGAAAAAATCCCGTAGGGGCTTTTACTGAAAAAGTTCAGCGAGTAGAGGGACTGCTTGCACATAAAGCTTGCAGCAATTTTTAGGGCTGTCACTTTCAGGAGAAAGGAAAATGTTTTTCTGTATAATGAACATGAGGTAATAAACTAAGCAACTACAGTTGACTTTGTTTGGGAGATTTGTTGAAACCGTTTCTACAGCTCATTGATCTGGGATCAAAGAAAGAAAGGTGTGTTTTGAATCTAAGCCGAGAAAGTAAAAGCTCCGTGGTTTGTACAGAAAATGTTGGCAGTTTGTGACCCTTCAAGTGCCCCTGGCGTTATAGACAGATTATCTCCCTTCTTTTCTAGCGTTTTGTTTTGGCTGTTTGGGTATTTTCGAATTGTAACTCTAAAACACACAGCGCTGCGCTGCTTCTCGGTCCAGTCGCTGAGACTTCACTTCCCCGCCGCGTTTAATAGGGAGCTTCTTCTGACACTCCTGAAACCTTCGTGGTCGCACGACTCCTGGGGTCATTCGTTAACTTTCCCAACCTAACAATGCCACCGAGAGTTCATCCTTCTGATTTATTGACCTTTTAAACCCGCCGGTACACAGCGCGGGGGCGCGGAGTGGGGATCCTCCGGCGAGAGATGTGTTTCTATTTCAGGTCCATTACAGAATGCGGTGTTGGAAGTGGTGCTCCCAGCGTTATCAGAGCCGACCACAAATGCCACATGAAAAGCAGCAAACATCCGGAGGGTTTCCTGCAAATCGAGCAGTTTCCCAAGACAAGAGCCTCTTTAAAAAAAACCGTGTATTTAAAGACAGCACACTATGCCTCTTTAGAGCGATTCAAAACCACTAAATGAAAGCAGCCGAGCCCGACAGCGCTGCATAGTACAAGAAATTTCCCCGAATGAAGACTTTTTGGGACTTTGCGTTAGGAAAGTGAGTTTATTGCAAAGGCCCTGGTCAGGATGGATCCACTACTGAATGGAAAAAAAAAATCAAAACCTCAAAAATGAGAAATATCCCTTTCAGCAACTCTAACTCTGGAAACACCATTAATTACTTTACAGAAAAATAATAGTCCCCAGCATCTTCGCCTGCCTCACTTTAATCTGCAAGTTGCTTTCCAGCAAATGCACACAGACCCGAGGAAAGCTTGAGGCTCCAGCTGCCCTCAGCATCCGAAGCGGAGCCGCTTGGCTGGAATCGCGTCCCGTCGCCGCAGGCTCGGGGACGGGCACTTGCCTGTGGGACAGCACGGCCGCGCACAGCGAGCTCCCCGCATCCGTGCGCGCCTGCTTGGGGGGTGTTAAGCAGCGCTGTCCCCGCATTTTAGGACTGGAGGGAGTCCGGCGGGGGGAGCGGGACGTGCGCGACTCCCATTGCCAGGTAAGAGCGCTTCGCTCCCGGCGGACACGAGCGAGGTCCCCCCGCCAGGTGAGGCGCCCGGCCGGCGGGCTGGGCCAGGCCCGGAGCCCGCTGCTGCCCCTTCCCCCGGCGTTCCCGCCGGCCCCCCTCGGGAAGGGGGAGCCCTCCCGCAGCCCCTGGATGCCGAGGGGAAGCGGGAAGTCTGAAAGGGGCTGGAGAGAATTGTGCATTTATCTGCACCGGGCTCAGCAGCAACCAACCCCCCTCCCGCGGTAGGGCAGGGGTTGCGGTGTTTCCCTTTGGGCAGGCTCAGCCCTGGGTCTGGCGAGCTCACAGGAGAAAGGAGAGCCGTGGACCACCGTCCTGTCTCTCTCATCCTTTTTTCTCGGTGCTAGGAAATACATTCTTTATACATATACATAGGCATACATCTCGCCATCCACCGTTCTTTCAACTACATGGTGCCATGTACCATGCCCGTGCTCAGAAAACTTCCCGGTCTGAAGGAAATGGCTTTTCAATGAAGTTAATGGAACACGTCCCGGAGGACCTGCAGTGCAGGAGAGAGCCTGGACCGCGGCTTCTCCTAGGAAGGGGTTAACTCATCTCCCCGACGTGGCTGCTTGGGCTGGGCTCTGAGGCGCCCGGAACGCCCTCCCTGCCCCCTTCTGAAGGCAGAAACCAAACGGAACCAGTGGGAAAGGACATGATTAACGGAGTGCTCCGTACTTCTGTAATGCCTCTTCCAGACCGACAATATGTGGACCCAAACAAAGTTTGAATGACATTGAAATAACATTATTTTCACGAGTAAAGCATAGAAGTGACACTTCTCTCAGACCGCTAACAGCATAATCTGGACCTAATCTGGACCCTTTATACGAATAAATTTACATACTTATTTAATATAAAGATAAATTAATGAGACTAATATCACAGACCTGTTGCATATTCCTTTGTCAACAGTTTGATTACATGAGTTTCCAGCTTCATTTTGACTTCTGTGTCCTTTGGTTTGAGAATGAGTTGCATAGACCATGGAGCAGTACAGTAGCTGAGACCAGCCTACACTTGAATTTCCAAGAACAGAAGTTCTGTTACTTTAAATATTTAAGTATATACAAGTCATTAAATAAAATTATTAAAAAAAAAAAAAAAGGAATGCTTTATACAATGCTGGACCCACTCCAAAAGTTCAGAGATCTGATTCGACCTAGGCAATTTGGCCCAGCCTCTGTATTTATGCTGGTTTTATGTCAGTGGAGCTACTGCTAACTTGTTTTACTCTAAGATTTATTCTGACATGCTAGATGCCAAAGTGATGGACTA